GAGAGAACAGCATGTATATTATCTATAGTGAAACAGATCACCAGCCCAGGTGGGATGCATGAGACAAGTGCTCGGGCCTGGTGCACTGGGAAGACCCAGAGGAATCGGGTGGAGAGGGAGGTGGGAGGGGGGATCGGGATGGGGAATACATGTAACTCCATGGCTGATTCATGTCAATGTATGACAAAACCCACTGAAATGTTGTGAAGTAATTAGCCTCCAACTAATAAAAATAAATGAAAAAAAATATTGGGAAACTCTGGTCTATCTTCTGATAGTACTAATAGTGGGCTTCCCTAGTGTCTCAGATGGTAAAAAATATCTGCCTGCAGTGCAGGAGATGTGGGTTTGATCCCTGGTTGGGGAAGATCCCCTGGAGGAGGGCATGGCACTCCAATATTTTTGCTGGGAAAATCCCATGGGCAGAGGAGCCTGGCCAGCTACAGTCCATGGGGTCACAAAGAGTCAGACATGACTGAAGTGACTGAGCACAAACACGTAGAACAATCATAAAGCTTTTGGCAATATCTAATTGCTTTATAATTTTATGGTAATATTAGGATAAAGTGGTCTCCATTCTTCAATAAAAATATGCGTAAGTTTAAAGGTCAAAACTTAAAGATTTTTCAGGAGTTCCTAAAATCTGTCTACTCCCTAGACAATGGCAATATGAGAGTTTGAACAGCCATTGTGCACAGCGTTGCCCTTCTGTCAATGGGATAGACTCAATCCATCCAAATCGCAGTTCTTCAGTCGTTCCTATCTTAGATTTCAAGAGAGGAAATTCTGCCACCCAGCAGTAATTTTATGAGTTTTCTAGGTGCTAGCGTTTCCCCTGGAGAAAGGAGATGGCAACTCACTCCAGTTTTCTTGCCTGGGTAATTCCATGGACAGAGGAGCCTGGCCAGTTACAGTCCATGGTTCGCAAAGAATCATATAAGGCTGAGCACACAACACTCACTCACTCATTCAGTCTAAAGACTAAGGCTTCAGACATACACCCCAGTGTTCACAGCAGCATTATTTGCAATTGCCAAGTTATGGAAGCAGCCTAAATGTCCATCAACGAATAAATGGATAAAGAAGATGTGGTACATATATATTATACAATGGAATACTACTCAGCCATAAAAAGAATGAACTTTTGCCATTTGCAACAACATGGGTGGACTTGGAGAGCATTATGCTAAGTGAAATAAGACAGAAAGAGAAAGACAAATATGTATGTCTATGATATCAATTCCATGTGGAACCTAAAAGAAAATACAACAGAATAGTGAATATAACAAAAAAGAAGCAGACTCACAGATATAAACTAGCGTTTACCAGTGGGGAAAGTGAAGGTGGAAGGGACAACTTAGGAGTAAGGGATTAAGAGGTAGAAATCCCTTAAAATAAGCTACAAGGATATATTGTCCAGTGTGAGGAAGATAGCCAATATTTTGTAATAACTATTTAAAAATTGTGAATCACTATATTGTACACCTGTAATTTATATAATAGTGTATATTAACTACACTTCAATTTAAAAACAGTCAACAACAACAACAAAAAAGACTTGGGGCTTCCCTGACCATCCGATGGTTAGGACTCTGTGTTTCCACTGCAGGGGGCATGGGTTTGATCCCTGGTTCGATCCATGGGTTCGATCCTGCCCGCCGTTGTAGCATGGCCAAAAATAAATAAAGTGTACAACTCGAGGGCTTTTAATATATTCCTAGACTTGTGCGTGCATCACCATAATAAATTCTTTTTGAAAGGCTGTGGTTCAAGAACAAATATTCTCCTTCTTCTCTACCTCTCAGATGGGCAAAACATATCAAAGGTCCTCGTGAACCATTTACAGGAGGATCACAGTGGCTGCCATGAAAGGAAATGAATTAGAAGGCATGTCCAACGATTGACAATAGACTTCCCAGGTTTTGACACTCAGAGTAAGTTTTATCTTAAAAGTTTTTTTCTTTCTGGTATTCTCTAATTATTCTATAATTTAAGTTTGTATGATTGACTCATGAAACATTTTTGGGCTTTGTTTTGATAAGAAAGAGGCAGTGGGTAAGAGAATAGGTTGAAAGTGACAGGAGCCATGGTGCAGAAGGCCACTTGACTGCCCCTCAGTGGCTTTGCCACTTGGCAGAATCCTTCCCTCTCTCGCTGTGCACTGGGGGTGAATACCCCCACCTCACAGACATGCAGGGAGGATTCAGTGAGCCGATGCAGAGCTCCGTGCTTCAGACTGAGCATGCATTTATTTGTACATTGTGAATATAATATTAGAAACGGTAGCTATTAACATTACTAATTGAGATTTTTACTTTGCATAATAACACAACATTTACACAATAGTTAAAAAAAAAAAGAAGAAAAAGTTGTCTCTAATCCTGTCACCCCAAGTCAAGCTATTGTCATTTGCCCCAGGCCTTGTCTAGTCCTGACCCACATGATTCATACATAGTTATAATCATATTGTAAGTGCAATTTCATATTCTGATTTTTCAGCTGACATTATATGATAAGCACTTTCTGCCACATGTGAATCATTAAATGGCGATTTTAAAAGCCATACGTATTCAGGGACAATAAGATGCAGTGACCCTCTATAGCACAAGCAGTGTCCTTTATATTCTCTAAAATAAAATCCCTCAAGATGACCGGTGCTGGCCCTTGAAGTAACCAAATTCAGTGCAATAAAACCAATATCACAAGAAGGCAAGCCCATCAGGGCACTTTGGGTGAGGAGGGAGCGTTAACCTTTTATAAACTTGAAAGCTGATGGGCTTCAGTTGGCGACAGTGTGCAAAGGTACCTCGGAATATGATCCGAGGATGTACTGCCTTTCTGAGTGTGAGGATAGAATCTGACCTCCAGAACCAAACCAGGGGTCTTTGAAGCCTGAAGATCAAGAAAGGCCAACCCTGGTAGCTGTGGCTCTTCCTCCCCTACAGACTGACGCCTAGGCAGGCGGAGGCTGGGAAGGAAAGGGCCAGCCAGAGCACGGAGGCGAGAGGGCAGGGGACTTGCTTAGGACCAAGGTAGAGCACCGTGAGGCAGACAGACCAAGTGTGGAGCAGGAAACGTGTTGTCAGAATTGCTGGCCTGGAAAGTGGAAGGCTTGAGTTCTGCTAAAGAGCTTTGAATGTAATTGGGTGGGTATTGGCCAGCCCTGGAGAGTTGCTGAATAAGGAAGCAGGCCAGCCAAGGTGCTGAGAGAGAAAGAGAAGAGAATAAAGTAGTACTCATGGGCAGAAAAGAAAACAACTCCGACAGGGGTGCAGAAGAGGAAGAAATCACAAGCGAGACGGTGGCTGATGGGTGCTATGTGTTGTGTTCTGGTCTCTGTTCTGGCTATTTTGTGTGTACTCACTGATTCAGTCCTTATAGCAACCTTCTGATTTGGGCACTGTTATTATAACTCCTGTTCACCAGAGGAAAATTATTAGGTGATCTGGGCAAGTTGCCAAGGTCACAAATAGTAGTGACAGCCCCAGCACAGAAATCCAAGTGGGCTGGTTCTGGAGAGAGGCCACCAGGCGAGTAGGGGAAGCACTCCTGGTAGAGCTGACAACGTGCCTCTTATGGAGGAAGGCAAAAGCTCCAAGATGCAGATGGTGGACAGACCAGAGAAGAAATTCTCGGAATTTCTGTGACTGGCAGTGTGGAAGGGCCAGTGACAGGGTCTGAGAAGCTCTGTGCCCCTTCTTGTCCCTGGCCACAGTTGTCCCCTGCAACCTGCACAAGGACTTGGCCCAACACACTGTTTACAGATCGGTTAGGATTATTTTGGTTGAGGCTGCCTCCATTCTGTCCAGTCTCAGCACTTATCCATCTAACAAACACGTATTGTGTTCCTCTCAGTAAAGGGTGCTAGCTTGACAGAGATTAGCAAAACTGGCACAGTGCCTACACAAACCCACTCCTGAGATGAGCTTCCTTCCACCCAGTATGTAACTAGTTAGGACAAAGGATCTCCCCATGTAATACCTCAAACCTCTTTGTTCTTTCTTATGAAAATCTCATCCTACAGAGCTTTGAGCTCGAAAAAGCTGCTTCCTGCTGGAGAGATCAGGTTTTACTCGTCACTGATAAACAGCTGGCATAAGTGATTTCATCTTGATTACAGCAGCCTGGGAGCCAGATGATCCAAGCTGATGTCTTTGTTGTTAGAATTCTTCTGCCCAAAGCATTCCCAGGAAGCCAGCCTCTCCTTCCTCCAGGTCCTCAAGGGAAAGGCCACTAAAGATGGTACCCAGCATGAGCTCCAAAACTGGAGATGCTGGAACTTAGATTCCTCTAACTCTCAAGGGTGTTTCGTCTGGGAGAACTTGGAGGTCCTCTCAAGGGTGAATTTAAATGGGGATAAAGATATGTAGGTGAATGGGTTTTCCCTGGAGCTGGACCAGCCTTGGGGGCACAGCTTGAACTTGCTTTGTTCAATCTCCTCACTGCCCCATGTTGTGAATATCCACTTGTCTGTTTTCAAAACCCACTGGAAGGGTTACAACCTATCTCAAGATGCTACAAGTGGGACTACAATCAACTTACACTGAGCGGGGGGTATACTGAGAATTGCTGAGCATCGTATAAGCGGCTAATGGCCCAGGTGCAACTGGACACCCCCTTGAGCCATTATCATGGATATAGAGAGGCATTTAGGAAAGTATCAGCAGCAGCAGCAAATTTTGTCTAACACAGGTTTGCGAAAGGACCTACATCTCTACTCAAGAAAGATTGCTTCTTACGCAGTTAAAATAAATCCTCCATCTGTCTAAAAACCACTTACATAAAGCGCCCCCTTCTCCCTCGCCTCCGCTGGTTCTTCATCTGTGGGCCAGGCCAGGCTTTTGGCCAGCTACACCAGGCCCATGGCAAATGTGTGCACAGCCATGCAGAGCCCAGAGCTAGCTGCTAGGGAGCAAAGCCCTTAGTGGATAGCTTGCTCTAAACATACAGAGAAGCAACAGTCACATGGGTAGCTTGCTTCTCCCATATCTGTTAGCATAGAGCTCTATTTGCACCCCTGCTGCATGCAGTTTGGAAGTAGATAGAGTCTGAAAATATTACATGTGTATTACACTCACCCAGAGCATGATCCTGAGCAGAATAGAGCAGTGGCTTCCTTGAAAAGGGCTTAATCTTCCATCCTGCTACCTACACACAGACACAAGCTCGTTTGTTCCTTTAAAGCTTGAAGAACCTGAGAGGGTTGTTTCCCAGGATGGATTTGCAGGCTCCAGGATAACCCTGGGGGCTCTTGGCTGCCTACACCCCAGAGGCTCCGGAAATGATAGTGGGAAGTGGCTGGCAGGAGTGAGAGGGCATATGTGTCCCGGGTCATGGCAGAGCTCCCCCAGACACACAACCTTCCAGGCTGACCTCAGGCTCACACTGTACCACTCCTCCTCTGCGCTCTGCATCTGCGAGAAGTCACAGAGTGAGGACCAGAGTGGGACAGTGAAGGCATCAACCGCCTGGGCTTGGGCACCAGGCAGAGATGAACTCCATTTGAGCTCTGCACTTACTTTGGGACCTCCACACTGATCGTTTAATCTCTCCAAACCTCGTTTTCCTCATCTGAACAATAGGGACAGCAATGCCTGCCTCCGGGGTTTGTTGCAGGAACTGAATGAGATTATGCATATGCAAAAACCTCCATTCAGTTCGTGAGCTCACTGCACAAATGCTGACTCACAGCCCTGGCCCTGCTGGGTTTTCTTATCTGTTTAATTACCCATACTAGACTGTCAGTTCTTTGAAGGCAGGCTTAATAACTTCCTGACTGCTGTATTCTAATGGATAAACATAATTCCAGGCTAGCAGTAGACCTGTGTTTAATATTCATTAAATACTTGTTGAATTTGTTGAATTCATAATTAGTTATAGACTTGTAGTACATGTGATGGTTAATTTTATGTGTCAATGTGTCTGGGCCATGGTACCCAGATATATGCTCAAATATTATTTTGGATGTTTCTTTGAGGGTGTTTTTGGATGAGATTAACATTAACTGGGAACATTCTCATTCTTGGTCTGCCATTGCCAAGAGAACATGTGCAGGCTAGCATGCTGGAGGGTGGGAGATATGGGGCACAGAGTCAAGACACCCCATTACCCCAGGCTAGGCCATCCTAGGTCGGTGGTCATCTAACCCCCCATGTATGTAAATAAGCTCATTAAGATCAACAAAACTGCCTAGCTGAACACCCCGAAGCATGAGCAATTAATGCTTTGTAAGCCGTGGAGATTTTGGAGGGGTTTGTTCCACTGAATCATTTTCACAATAATTATTTTCACGTAGAACCGAGGAGTCACCTGTCCAATTCTGTTACTTCCACAGTCTGTGCTCTGCCCCGTGCATCACACAGTAGTGTGTGTCACCTGAAGGCAGGTCTCCTGGCCGGGACAAAACATTTAAAAAGTAGAGAAGAGATTTTCCTTTGCAACTTGGGCATGTGAGGATGGCATGCCCACCAGGCACCAGGCTGCCCAAGAGGCAGTCTAAGCACAGGTGCCAGGCAGAGCCTGGAGAATCAGGGCAGCAACACAAAAATGAGAAACTTTTTTTTAAGAACTTGATATTTCAAAAAATAAGCATTGAAGTAGTCATCATAACTTTTTCAGAATTCCTTATGCTGGTTTATGGCTTAGGTTATTTTATTTTATTTTTTTTTTGGATGAGGATTACATCTTGGGAGGTGGATTTGCCTGCAGAGTCTGTGATAGGCTTAGAGCCTCTAAACTATCCAAGGACCCCCTGCTCTACAGGGATGGGGGGACCTAGGGCTGCCTGGAGCTGGAGCAACACTGCGGGCACGCAGGAAGCAGCTTGGGGGGCGGGGCATGGGGACACCCAAGTAACGGAGCTGGGCTTCTGCAATCTGTTCCCAACTGTTTGTGCCTATGAATCATCTACATCCACACTCCCTCACAACCCGCCTGTTACATAAATAATATACAAAATGAGCAAAATTCAGCCACCACCAGGATGAGCTTTGACCTTGGGTGGTCACAGAGGAGTTAGGAGAAAGGGCTGTTTAAGAGAGTTGTGGGTGGTTCCCTCCAGAAGGGCGAGTTTTGCTCCGTTTCTTGACATCACTAATAGCTTTGAAAAGTCAGTCACCTTTATGGCCCAAGCCCTTGGAAAACTGTCTTCAACGCACCCAGTAAAATCTCTGAAAGGAAAAATAAAAGTCGGCCTGCATTCCAAGAAGGAAAAGGAGTTCAGAGGGAATTCCCTGTGGTCCAGTTGTTGAGACTCCATGCTCCCGCTGCTGCCCAAGACAGGGAAAGGAGCAACCAAAAAAAAAAAAGCAGGGGTGGGGGCGGGTAGCTCAGAGCAATCCCAGAGGATTTGGAATGCTTGTGAAATCCAACTTGGGGAGAGGGTAGGAGTAGGTGGGAATACTCACTAAATAAATGAGCAAACATGTGAGTGCTGGACTCTTCATGAAGTCTAGGTAGAGACTTCCCCTGGTGGTCCAGTGCTTAAGACTTAGTACTTCCAGTGCAGGGGTTTGGGCCCTGGTTGGGGAACTAAGATCACACATACCTTGTGGCCAAAAAAAAATTAATTAAAAAAAAAAAAATCTGGGGATAGAATACTTTTTTCCTCTCCGAACATTCCAAGATGATACAAAATTGTTACTCCCAGATAGGGCTGAATAGTGGCCTTCAGAAACTGTTCCTAGATACTAACTTGCTTCCAGGCGAGATCAGCAGAGGCCACACCACGCACAGGAGACATTGGCAGTGCCCAGGTTAGTCAGCAGGGGACAGATGAGAGTGAAGAGGAAGAGGAGGAGAATTTATTATTGAACACTTGGCTTTGTAGCAGGCATTACCTCATTCAGTCTTTCCCACAATCCTATGAAATTCATTATTAATACCTCCATTACATAGATGAGAAAATTCAGAGAGCTTAGGTAACTTAGCCAAAACCAGTATGTTTTGAGCACAGTTGAGTTTAGATCCCAGGCTCTTTGATTTGAACCCTATTGGCTAACTCAGGGATCTAGACTTCCCTGCTCGCTCAGACAACCTGCCCTGCTCTTAACAAAGAGCTCAGTCACCTTGACACTATTTAAATGTTTCTCATTTGGAGAAATGCCTCTACAGCTGCGAAGCACTTTATTCTTTATCAATACAGGAACTGGTTTAGTCCCCAAACTCAACATTTATTTTTGAAATAAACTTTATTTAACAGAGTCTTCTTTGCATGCCTTAAATGAATACCTTAGGAACCTGTTTTGGTAGAGGAAGCCTCCTTTTCCATTTTGGAAATGCTGTTTACTCATGTGGTCCTTCATTCATTGTTCATTAATTCATTCACTCAAGAAACATTTATTGAGCAACTACTAAGTACCAGATACCTTGCTGATTCCTAGAACTCCGCTGATGAGTTTATCGCCGTTAAGGAGCTTATAGTGTATACCTAGGGTTGTTCAAAATGAGGTGTCCAGAACTCATAGACTACTAGTGGGATTTTAGGTGTCAAAAACAGATTCACAGTGCAAGAAAAAAAAAATCACTAGATTCTCTAGATCTGGGGTCTTAATAACTGAATATAGCTGTCACTAAGTGACCAAATATCATCAGACCTCTAACCAAGTCATTCATCTTAAAGAAAAATAAAAGTATTGTGCTCAAAAAATCACTGCTTCCTCATTTGACTCCACCAGTATAGCACACTCCTTAAATAAAACAAAAAGAGTCAAACATTTCAGCTTTCCAAAACTGGACCAAAGCCAGTACCCTGGGCTTCTGCTGTAGAAGAACCAAGACCCTTTCTGTAAACCTATAAATAAATTTCAGCAGATGCTTGGACTCAAAGAGTCCAAGTGGAAAGCCAACCCTCTGGTCCTCAGAAACATGCATGCTGCCTCTTTTCCTGACCCCTCGCCAGCTTTAGAAAGCTGTGTTTTGGGAAGCTATTAGTGCAGAAAACAGTATTTCCAGAATGATGAGTTACCCCAGAAAGCTCTTCAAAAATAGGTAGCTCCCAAAAGAAGTGAGTGAGCTCTGCGTCCTAGTTCTGAGATGTTTCTTCTATCCTGAAGTTCCAAGGGAAGTTAGGAGTGAAAGTCTCTAGACAGGCCTCTTTCAGGATACTGTGATGAAGTCCTTGTTAAGCTGGCTGGTCTCCATCACTGACCACCCAGAATGCCAAGTCACAGTTCAAGCCAACCTCATCCCACAGCAAGATTAGAATGGATATCAAGTCATCAATTTCCAACTCTGATTTTTATCCATCCCTGAGGGGACCACATATCTAAAGGATGGTGCATCATTTTCAAAACAAGTAAATTTTAATTCCTTTCATTTGAAAAGGTAAAGAACCAGAAACTCTTTTAGGAGGAAGAGGAATATAAAGAGACCCAATAATGAGAGTAGTAAATAATAGTAGCAGTTAGAACAAACTAGAATATAAGCTTCTCATGACCAACCTGGATAGCATATTAAAAAGAAGAGACATTACTTTGCCAACAAAGGTCTGGCTGGTCAAGGCTATGGTTTTTCCAGTGGTCATGTATGGATGTGAGAGTTGGACTATAAAGAAAGCTGAGCGCCGAAGAATTGATGCTTTTGAACTGTGGTGTTGGAGAAGACTCTTGAGAGTCCCTTGGACTGCAAGGAGATCCAACCAGTCCATCCTAAAGGAGATCAGTCCTGGATGTTCATTGGAAGGACTGATGTTGAAGCTGGAACTCCAGTACTTTGGCCACCTCATGAGAAGAGTTGATTCATTGGAAAAGACCCTGATGCTGGGAGGGATTGGGGGCAGTAGGAGAAGGGGATGACAGTGGATGAGATGGCTGGATGGCATCGCCAACTCGATGGGCATGAGTTTGAATAAACTCCGGGAGTTGGTGATGGACAGGGAGGCCTGGCGTGCTGTAATTCATGGGGTCGGAAAGAGTCGGACACTACTGAGCGACTGAACTGAACTGAACTGAACTGAGGAACAGAGGTTTTTGGGGACTTCCCTGGTGGTCCTCAATCTTTCCCATCATCAGGGTCTTTTCCAATAAGTCTGCTCTTTGAGGACATGAGGAGAAGGGGGCAACCAGGGATGAGTTGGTTGTGTGGCATCACCAACTCAATGGATATGAATTTGAGCAAACTCCAGGAGATAGTGAAGGACCCAGAAGCCCGGTGCGCAGCAGTCCATGGGGCCGCAAAGAGTCAGACACAACCGAGTGACTGAACGACAACCCTGGTGGTCCAGGGGTTAAGGCTTCAGTGAAAGGGGTGCAGGTTCGATCCCTGGTTGGGGAGCTAAGATCGCACATGCCTCAGGACCAAGAAAACAAGCCAGAGAAGAGAAGAAATACTGTAAAAATTTCAGTAAAATACTTTAAAAGTGG